CGGGTGCCCATTTTCAAGTTGGCACCGGTATTCAGTTCTGCCAGTGATAAAATTAATTCTTTTACAGTTTGTTAGTTCTTATTAATCACTAATGGTGCTGGTGGCTTTTCAGAAAACCAGTCTACCTTCCAGCTACAACAAAACAGATTTGAAGGTCCTTATCAACCCTTTTAGTGGATATATGCTCTTGACAAAGTTTGTCACTCATGTCTTTTCCATACACTTTCTTCCCTTATACTCAAGAATATCAAGACTGCCCGGGCTATTAATGCGCGTTTCATGTTAGTGATGGGAATGCCCTCATATATCATGAAATACGAAGTTTTTATTTTTGACTGCGGATATTATAACAAAAAATTCAATTTTGAAACCATCTCTAGCAAGTTCTCCATGTTTTTATATTACAGGTGTGCTTCTGGAATGTTTCACTTATGTTATTGGTATTGATCAGCTGGTGTTTCTCCTGGCCAGAAACTGAACCCATCGTTGAACCCTACTGCTGGTAACCTGAGACAGCATTTTTCTCATCTAGGCTTCAATGAGAAGTGGTTGGGAACCATTAATAACTACCACGCTAATGAGTTCTTTGGTGACCTTAAATATGCCTAAACTCTCAGTCCAGAATTATGCGAAAAAAACATATAGTGAGGAATTCTAGAAGCGCAAACATCAAGAGAGGTATTCCGCTTTGTTTAGCTGTAAATCATAGACAGCGGGTTTTAAAGTTGTTCTGGGCAGTGCTCCATCGTCTGAAGTTTTCTAGCTGTTGTGATGTCTGTTCTTCTCCTGCAGGGATTATCATCTCTACGATTTTTCCGGCAAAAGTACCTGGCAAGGCATAGTCCTTCTTGAGATGTCACTAATGCGCGTATAGCGTCATTGCTTCCTCTCGTTCGTTGCCACCACGTTAACAAAATATTTCCGGCATAACGAAATCGAAAGTCAAGATTACAATCCTTTGCGTATTTATCGTTTCTGAGAGGTGAAGACAAGCGGAAGTATTCCTAAGGTGGCAAATGCCACCAGAAGCTGCTCTCTAGCAAGACTGCCATTTCAAAGTTCATGCTATTCGCAAACGCAACTTGTTCTTAAATTTACAGCTTGAATTCCTGAGTTCCTGCTATATTGGTTCAGACGGACGAACTCAATTCATGATTCATTTACAGGACATCCGATAGTCAAATCCCATTCTTCTCGCAGATGTTCCTCGCTATTGTCATAGTTACATCGATTGGAAGCGTTGTATTATACATTGTTGTATATGCATTGACTCGAAAAAACGTCCGTTCTGCTCAGAAAATTCAAATGGTTTGTAAAGTTATTATTTTATGACTGAAATATGCATTACCTGTGGAAAGTGAAACAGAAAGACAAACTATCCAGAAACTCGATGGATTGCTTGTGCACCTCGGTAAACTGGTCAATTGCCATGATGTTCAACTCAGTTGCAGCTTATAGCCTGTTTCCTCAGCTATGCGACTGCTGACTTTTCCAGTTACTCTGTGGCTCAGTGGACCAAAACTTGCCTCATTTATTTTATCGCTTCAATTTTGCTTCATGATACTGTTATAAATTTCTTATTAAATAATCTTCGCCTAGCAATTGTTTTTTTTAAAGCTTTCCCTGCGTGTTATTCTTATTATTTACTATTACTCTAAAAAACACTGTTTATTTCTGACAAAACTAGTTTGATGCTATTAGCCGCCCTGGCGCTCTTTTCGTTTCCTGAGTGAACTACCAGCTGAATGTTACTATCGCTAAAAGCACTTGCCAGGAATTTAGCCACTTTCTTATTTCATGGCGCGTGCTGAGAGTCACCATTTTGTCTCCAAGAATTTCTAATTCAGGCCACGATGAGTTTGTTGCGAAGATTCTGAGAAAAGCCGGCAAAAATTGAAAAATTGTATGCTGCATACGGTAGTAGCTTTAAACAGATAGGATGACAGATGTTCAAAATAATTACTTCAATGCTGTGTAAAGCACAAGGGCCGGTAGCGTGATGAACAGTGCATTATGATACGACGGATTGAAAAATAGTGGAAACAGATGGTTCGATTATCTCTCAATCCATAATCATTTGCAAAAAAAATTCCCGTTCGCGGTAGAACCATGCTACCCTTTAGAAGTTTTATGGATCAAAAAAATTACAGCTGCTCAGTACTCAGGATCTTATTTAGATGGTCAGTTTCAGGGATCGAAAGCGGCTGAAGCATTCGCACGTCGTCAACGTAAACTTACTATGACAATGAATATTTCATGTGTGATAACAGTTGTCCTCTTCGTTTTGCCCATGTGCATAAGTTTTTTGGTGGGCGACGCAGTTAACACACCACTGTACGACTTCGTAACAGTGTATTCCGGAATCAGCTGCAATTTCAATCCTCTCGCAATCCTTGCAGCTCTGTTCATTATGCAGGAAGACGTGAAAGCGGCTGTACTCAGCAGCTTACCGCGCTGTTTGCATCGCTTGATCGAACGTCGGCTACCAAATTTCGTCCCAGCCAAAACGTTTGGTGACACTCTGTCGATGGCCGATGGTCTTACGACGCAACACAAAAACCACCCGACAGCAGGTTTTTCGCACTTGCCGCAGCAGACCACCAAAATTGCTGTAAAGCCCCTTCCGAAAAATGAGGAATTACCGCAACGGTGCGATCACGCCATTCATTTCCAGCGTTGCGAAATAAGGCACTAACACTTAGTTTCTTTAGCATACCGGGATGGGGGAGGACTGAGATGCGTTTGGTAATTTTTTCAGCGGGCGAGCTGAAAATACCTATTCTCATAATAGAAATAGTCACTATAATTAAAATAAGGCCATTTTCACGGCTTACTAATGCCACCAATTTTGTCCTTAGCTTAGAAGCTAGGCATCTCCCTCACCTCTAGCAAAAAGCAGCCACGTCTTCTGTGATTATCTAACTGCAGTTTTACTGGCACTACGCAGTGCTGCAGCACTCTTTTGTGCCATGAGCTGTTTATCGAGATCTGTATTTAGATCTGACACCTTTAGCTGCAGAAGAAGGAACTAAACCTTTTTAAAAGCATCTCAATCATATTTCTAATCAAATTCATTTCATTTTTTCCTGATTCCCCGTTTTCCTCCACCATTCTAATCTTCTTCCTAATCTGATCTTGAAAATTTTGTTGCTTACAAATCCAGTATATTATAACCGGCAAGAGGCTTTAATGATGACCCTCGCTTTTACTCACAAGTGTGGCGCTGGCCGCATTTGCCATTACGTAAAGAAACACAGTCTGTTTTGGAAAATTTTTTTCTGTACATATAGCATTTAGAACCTGTGTTTCGATTTCAGTATGAATTAAAATGTTAGCAACAAATGTCGCTGATAACACAGTACATAGTCAAAGCCAAAAAGTTAATTATAGTCTTTGTATTCGATGTATTTAATGGGCGTTCTGTGTGGGAAAAGCTGATTTAAGTCACGAGGGAATGGTTCGTAACAAAAGGGAGAGAACAGCAATACTGACTGGAAAGGAGCTCAGGAAGAGGCACGGGAGGTTAATACGGGTTTAAGACGGATGTTATACCGAAAACTAGATACTGAAGGAGCTAGTAAACTTACGCTTGCATTCAAAAATGGCGCTAGAAGAAAAAACCCGATACTTCTGTGCTTTTTGCAGATTGCATCCAAGCCCACAAGCAGTTACGGTTCAGCCGAGCTGAGCTTCAATTGCTCGCGCTATGTGAGAATATCCCAGTAACATCACGAACACAAATCATCCACACTGACTGTGCAAACTGTATTGGTATTTATAACAAAAAAGCAATTTATCTGAATACCTTGCGCACCTCCTGCTCTTCGCTGATGTTGCAAAAATCGCAAATTTTCAAATTTTCCTTTCAAAATTGGCATCTTGAAGTCAGTTAATTTAAGGAATATAGCAGTTTCACGGTTACTAAATTATAGCCAGTAAGTGTAACGCAGTGAAGCGTCTATTACTCAATTATTTGCCCCTGCAAAAACAATTCCTTGTTTTATTACCTGCGGTAATTTGGACTAAAATAATTACCGAGAAAGAGCATAGTATTGTCACGATTGCTCAATTACCGGCGGATACAAAGCAAGAAATGCCTGTTTACCTGCAATATTTGCTACTTTATTATTTATTCACAGCTCATTGTCCAGAAGATCTCAGTAATTGCAACCGATAGTCCGCGCAGTTTTGATACGCCCTTACTGTTAAATCCAGGGCTTCTTTTTTACGCATAAGAGATCCATCTTATATGTTTTTACGTTGCAAAATTTATAAATAAGAATTTAAAGTCACTAATCTTTTTACGGAAGTGAAAGTTTTTCAAATGCCTTTTGGGATAAATTTTTAGGAGCCAGGATCCATAGTGATTTTCCCAAAGAAAACTTTAGTCCTGGCTGTTTTTCGTCAAATACTTTATATTCAGCAGCTAAATTGAAATTTAGAGAATGATAACACAGGAAAAAATGCTTCCTCAAGCCCTTCGTTGAGTACCGCGCTTAGGTATGGTGTGAGCGATATTATTAGCGCAACGTACGCTGTTAAAAGAAGGACCGGTCATGAGCAAGAGTGCGAAATAAGAAATGGACAAAGTGAATCATTAATAGGTGCTCAAGCAGTTTTGAATAAAGCGCCAATTCCAACTGCACACGAAAGCTTTAGATTTGTTTTTCACTGGTCAAAAGATTAAATACCTAATCAATTAGTCATAGTCAATAGCTAATCGGCTGACTAATTTAGCTGACAATTAGGCACAGTCGTGTTTTACAAGAGCATCCGAGAGCTGTTAATGATTCTCTTCTCTCTGAAGTAATTTGCCGGTAAGTCGCAATCTTTATGAACGCCGAACCCAAATTTCGGTTTTTAGGATCCCCGGATGGTGGCAGTTAAAGTAGTTTTTCGCTGAGATAAGAGTGCTTCCTACAACATTCTAGGATTGTTGAGACAGTTTTCTTTTCCAGGAGTACGTGAAGAGTAAGCTGAAAGCGTTTTGAATGTCAGCCTGAGGTATCAAGGCGATTTTGGCTTTCACAATCAAATATGTGAACAATTTTCAGCTGCAAACTGCATGTTGGTGGGTGCCAGTAGAGGCAAATTTCGCAACATTGCGATGTTCTCAAAGTGTTGGAATGAAGGGACAGTAACCACTCTTCTTAAATATCACCGTGATTAAGGCGGTGGCACACAGATACGAAACGCAGGCACCTTCGAAAGCTATCGAGGCATCAGCTTCATAAGTGGGATAGTCCTTTGCTGATAAAGCTTTCTTACTTATGAAGCTGACTCTTAGGCAAAACTTTCGTATGAAGGTGTTGCTTAGGTGAAGCTGAGGGATCAAACAGCTGATGCTTAGGTAAAGCTAGAGCTCGCAACTTTACCTAGGATCAGTTTCACATTATTGGCTTTCAGCTTTCTTTGCCTAAGCATCAGTTTTATAAGTGGGGATGTCCTCTACTTATGGCGGGCTTTCCGCTTGCTTTTTTTGCTTTTACTTCCTTTATTGCTTGAACTTTTTCCTGTCTTTTACTTTCTTTCCTGCCGGTACTTTCTTCTTGTTTTTGTTTCCTTTCTTGCTGGTACTTCTTATTTCCCTCTTTTCAACTCACCACCCGTTTTCCTCTCCCTTAAGCGGCCTAAGCAACTGCTAAAGGATCTACATCACGTAGCTATTCAGTGTGCTCATCCGACCCGTCCCCCTTGCTTCGAGTCTTTGCGGGTGAAACCCATACATACCATTCCCCCCTCCCCTCACCTACCACAACCTCCTCTCCCGTCTCGAATCCAGTACCCAAAAGTGGGCTCATGCATTGCCAGTCCTCTTCACCCTCCCCCC